ACAAGTAGAGTCACTGTAATGACAGCAACACAGTAAAGTAGGATACTGCCGCTTTTAAAAGCTGAAAAATAAGGATTCAATAGAGAATATTATTTTTAGGAGACGATAGTACTGACATACCACTGCGAAATTTGCGATTGACGGACTAATGACGGAGAAAAAGCTGAATGAGACACTTTTGTTACTTTTCAGTATAATAATCTGCAATAATTTCTGCGTTGCTACAGACGTTTCGTACCAGTCGGAACTATACCTGTGAATAAAAACAAAGACATATTGCTATGTTGAATGAAATCTGGTGCGACTAAAAGGGTGTTAGTTAAAAAAAATACACTTCAATAGTTCATTAATATTTTCAGTTACATATCAAGATACGGGTTTATAGAAACATATCAACAATTTGTTCTGCAATGTTAAACAGCAATATCTACAAATCCTCGAAATAAATTTGTCTGCAACTCTAACTAGTTATTAGTGGATCAGAGAGATTTTGGTAAAATAAGTGTCACATTTAAATGTAAAGACGTGTATTACTATAATATGGCTGCTCAGCGATCAACACGTTAAAAATCAGCAGTAAAAGTTTAGAACACATAATATTCCAAGACAGTTACGTAGTTAGTGAGATGTTGCTAGCGCTATCAATCAGTATTCCACTGCAAGGTTTAACCAAAACAGGTATCCAAGTGAGCCTATCAATACCACGGCAGAAAATAAAGTCTCCTTGATATCTGATAACTGAAGCACTGTCAGAGAAAGCTTGAACACACAAATCAGTTTGAAAAGTCTATTACGTTTGTTTTTAGGGAAGACAATAATCTTTATCTCAATTGATGCACTGTGCATAAATTACTCATGCAAAACAAAGTAATGCTCACAACAAACATACCCAGCATGGTGAGGACACTGTATGACACTTTGGATTTTTCGCTTCGATTATACTTACCTGCAAAATATATTACGAGACGTTTTCCATGAAACGCGTAGATCTGTATAATTCGAAGTACCTCGACGTTATTCGTCTCCCAATCAAGTCTGACTTCATCTAGAAATGCCTTTAACTGCATTTGATAATAACATTTATATGAATATTTCGTAAACGTGAATTCAATCCCTATATGTGACTTACGTCGTTGATGTGATACCAAAATGTGTGGTATTTTGTAAACACGACTATTGTCATTGCTGCAATTGATATATCTCTAAGTTGCTGAAACAGACTTCTGTCTGCAATGAAGAAAACTGCAAACTAAGAAAGACATTAAGTTTGTTAAATGTAGGTCGAAAAATGTCAGAAAGTTTTCATAAACGTACTAAATAATACTTAAATCAAATTTGATAACCTATACCTGGGAAACTACAGATCAACAAGTAACGAAGCTGATGATGCCATTATGTAAGAGCCGAAATTTTTTGTGCTGTGCGGCCAAAGTCCCATTATCGGCATTAAGAACATGCACCACTTGTAATAGCTATTCATTTCTGCCATCGCGTTCGGTGGATCAAATGCTTTTAATCTCCAAGATATCAATCCACCCTCCATTACCTTTCATTCTTCCGCAACTATTACCTCTTCGAAGGACTTTTCAGTAAAATATGACAAAAATTCTTTGGATGCAACACAGTGATTGACAGGTTGCACGATTATGGGTAAAAGAAAAGCCGGGAGAAGAAAGTCTTCATACGTAGGTAGGGTGCATGGTAGCTGTAGCGTGGTGATGCAATAAAATCATTAAAAAAATGATAGGATAAAAGAAACAGCGGGAGAAAAAAGTTTTCTGAGCAAAGTTAAATATTTATATTTCTATGCAATATGAGCTTACGTGGGAAGATACTGTTCGATTGATCTCAGTCTGTTTGCATCCGTCGAAGAAAAATCTTGTATTATAACAGTGTTTAGTTAGCGGTGATATGTTAAGGTGGCCGGTGAACAGGATGCAAACACTTCAATTTATGTTGTATTGTAATTCTACTTCAAATATAACAGTAAGGACGTGGGTGGGTGTGAATGAAAAAAGTCAGTTTATTTAACAGTCATATAATAACAAATATATTTTTAACAAACGAACAAAGATTATGCAGTACGATCTTACGAGGAAGGATTCTCTTCTATTATCCTGAGTTGGTTTACGTCCTCCAAAGACAGAGCACGGATTCGTGAGCAGAGGAGTGTTTTGTGAGATGTGTTACGAAGATTGGTGAAGATGATGTAAGTGTACGAATTTATATTATATTGCAATTATAATACCATCAGTTAATGCAATAAGGTTCAGTTGTAAGCTATGAAAGCAAAGGTGGAACGCAGTTGACTTGGTTAATAAGATTTGTTAATTAATTTTTAGTAGGTATAGAATGAACGTTAAGGTTGCAAATGAAAAATAATGATGCACCACAAGGTAGAAGAACAACTGATTCATATTTTTGCTTTATCGAATAGTCAGAAGATTTACTGTAAAGTTAGTAGAACAGTAAAGTACGACACAGACGCCTTTAAAAGCTGAAAAATGAGGATTCAATGTAGAATATTGTTATTTGGGATTGTAATATGTGTTAAGCATACCACTGCAAAGCCTTCGATCGATGGTGCATAGATGCTTAGAAATTTAAATGACAAATCTTTGTTGCCATTTAATATGATCAGCTGTAACAATTTCTGCGTTGGTATAGACGTTTCGTACCAGTTGGTATTGTACCTGCCATTATAGACAACGATACATTGAGAAAATCAATACGATTTGAAAAGTGTCAAATGAAATTCCTTTTATAGTACATTAACATGTTAAGTCAGATCTCAAGACGGACCACTAAAGATTGTGCCATTCTAACATGGCGTAATATACGATGACACGATCTTTTGAACAGTGCAAGTAAGTAGCATGCCTTAAACTAATATAACAACAATGTGAACAACGAAAATAAAAAACTCCGATAATAATGGCAAAGTTCAATGAAAACAAAATTTGAAGAACTACAAAGAAATTGTAATGTCACAAATATTTGCACGTTCTCAATCTTTGTAAATCCATGTCACGTTAGTTGCAATTACGTAAAAAATATGTACCGTATTTCCGATGAAATATATGTCGCTAATTCCCCTGTCGACATTACGTATTTTTAACATTGAAAGCGTAAAACCGTTCATAATCAACGCATGATTAAGTGATTTTCGACTTATTAGAAACTAGCTAGAAAGATTTTGTACAAATAATATTCGAATATATTTACGTTGTTAGAGGAATACTTTCAGCCATGCTGATCATGTTTCCAGCTGCAAAGTTCATCCAAAACATGTATCCCAATGTAGAATTGATTAGACACACGGACAAGATTGTTTCTTCACTATCTGCTGCTCGAAATATCGTTTGAGACAGCTTTAACAAACAGAACATTTTTTAAATTCTTATTTGAGATTCTTTGAAAAAGAAAGTTGTATACATGCCAACTGATATAAAGTGATACAATGTAAATTACTCACGCAAAAAGAATGGGAGCTTAAGGCAATCACACCAAATATAATGGTGGGACCGTACGATATATTGCAGTGGTTGTTTAAATCACGTACAAATCTTCAAAAATATACTTAATCAGTTAAGTAAAATATTACGATGAATACGAAAAATGCGTATTTTTGGCCAGAGGTCACCGCGGGGTTTTCCTACGCCTTATGCATAATCACCCTTTACACTGATACAATTTTACATTGATTGCAGTCACAATTTATTAATTCAATTCATAATTAATTGTTTATTTGTACATATAATAAGACTATCTCATGTTGTTAGTACCAAATCATAAAATACATATGCGGAAAGAATATACTAAAAGTATTGCATAAGTAATGATAACTAACAATTTTTCTTTCAAATACACATATTTTGTATTTAAGAAGTTGAATGTAGAGTGTAATTCGCTCGAACACAATAAAACGTAAGTAAAATAAGAGGAAGGATACAAAATTAATTTGCTACCCGAAAAACTGATAAATTTTCATTGTTTAAATGTTAAATTTTAAGTAACATTTCAGCAATTGTTTGTACTATGATTATGCTGTGTAATGTTTTTCATAGAAACTGTTGAAGTTAAAGCCTTGACCATGCTTATACCGTTTTTAAAAAACCCCACATCCTTCGAAGTCATTGTTTAATTAGGGTCTAGGTCCTGCGAGTACACCAGGTATAGACACATGTACTGTCGTAGCAGTTCTTTTTTAGTTAGTTCTAATCGTTATTTTCATATTTTAAGCACCGAATTCTTCTACATATAGTTTCCTTCACCGTTTAATTTTTCCATTTATAAATATAATTATTGCTCTGATATACTCTACGCGTCTATTTCATTTCACATAACTCCTGAACAGAAAGAAATGTAACGATATCAAGGAAGACCAGTTTTTGCAAACACGCCAGTGCGGAAAGGAGGCGGAAAACCCTGGTTTGTACCTTAAAATTATCGTGGTCCGAAATTGGTCAATACATACATATAAAGAAAATACTTACTGAAGTGCCATTCGATGTATTGTAGTACCTCTAATTATGTAATTGATGCTTTCATTATTTCTGCAATTTCGCGGAAGATATGATACAGATGAATCTGCAAGAACGGCTTTCTCGAAGAAAAGACTAAGAATGACAGATAAGAGCATTTTCAGAAAGGCGGAATGGTTGATACAGAATGATGAGAATATAAGATTAATTTATTTAAATATACAGAGTCCGAATCAGGACAATCCAGCTGACTCGTTTTATTAGTTGCACGAGGAAATGTTCAAAAAACACTAACGCTTACGAAAATTAGTAAATAAAAAAAAGGAACCTGATAAGGAAACAAACTGTACCATCTCTTCCAAAAAATTGTGTATGGATTCTACTCCACTTTTCTTTTCTGAAAGTTAAGTATCGTCCAGAAACTGCTTTGGAAATATTCGATAGTTTGTAAAGTATTTTATTCTATATACGTTCACGGTGCACAATTGGACTTTTCTATTTTATTAATAATACACAATGTTTAGAAAGGTTTGGAAAACTAGATCTAATTCTTTTGAGGATTAAGGAAGCTAAATATCATTAAAAACGAATGACTCAGGCAGTAAAATCATTAATCTGACATTTGAAATGTTCTTTAATATTTTCCAAGATCTATGTTTCATTGAATGTAGACGGGACGTGAATTTTATGAATAACACAGTATTATTTATTCGAGATACGAACTTACCTAGCAACTTCAAATAATCCAGCGATATGCGAGGTGATCATGATCATAAGCGATTCTGCCCCAACTAATACAGTTATATCAATTATCAAAAAAAAATGTAGTAAACCAGTGCTGATAATTCGGTGTTGTTCTTTGTTGATAAAGAATTCTATAGTTATTAGAAACTTTACTGAACGAGACTCATTCAGTGGTAAAATTTTATCCAAAATAATAGGAAAAGTGTGGTATAGTATCACCAGACACACTGAAGGGTAAGCAAAGGCTGTAAAAAGTACTGTGTGTTCACTTTCGGAAGTTCAAACTATTCAAGATTTTCCTCACCCGCAAAACTGATTACTAGACGTTTTCCACGAATGGCGTGGATCTGCATGATTCGAAGTGTATCGTCATTATTCGTCTCCCATTCACGCCTGATCCGATCTAGAAACACTTTCACCTGCATTTGAAATGTTATGTAAATAAAATGGTATTTAAACGAGAATCCAATTCCTCTACCCGACTTACGTCATCGATCATATACCATGTTATGTGATATTTTGTAAGTGCGGTGATTGCCCCTGATATAAATGCTATTATCCTTAACAGACGGAACAGACTTCCCTCCAAACTGAATAAAGCTATGAACTTAAAAAGATATTAATATTCTCAAGTGTTGGTCGAAAAATGTCAAGATATTCGGAAAAGTTTGACAACGTATCATTCAGTTTTATAAATTTATAATTAATACCTATAGTAAGTCTACTAATCCAAACCTGGAAAATTACGGATGCCCAAGTAATGAGGCTTATGATGCCATTTTGCAGGAGTCGAAATTTCTTGTTTGAGTACGGCCAAAGTCCTATGACTGTCAAAAAGAACATGCACCATTTGTAATTTCCATTCATTTCCAACATCGCGTGCAGTGGCTCAAACACTACTGATCTCCGAGTGATCTATCTACCCTCCATTTCACCTCACCCTTCGCAAGTATTGCCTTGCGGAAAAGATTTTCAGGTGAAATATAACAAAATTTTTTTAATGCCAGAGAATGATTGACATGTTACAAATTACTTATTCATAAACATAGGGTGCGTGTATCGCGATCGATATCTGTAGCACGGTGGTGTAAGAATGTTATTAAGAAAATGATAGGGTAAAGAAAAAGCGAGAGAAGAAAATTTTCTGAGCAAAATTAAATATTTATATTTCTATGCAATACGAGCTTTCGAGGAAGGATACTGTTCGATTGATCTCAGTCCGTTTGCGACCGCCGAAGAAAGAGCTTGTATTATAACAATCTTTAGTTAGCGGTGATATGTTCGAGTGGCCAGTGAGCTGAACAATGCAAACACTTAAACATATATTATATTGTAATTTTACTCCTAATATAGCAGTGACGATGTCGGTGGGTGTAGATGAAAAAAAGTCAGTTTACTTAACAGTCACTCAACAAGAGAGAAAAAAGAGAAGTAATTAATTAATTACTTGTTTATTAAGTTTCGTCGACTAGTTTGAAGTAATTATATAATGTACATCGTAACAACCACATGTAGGTTGCAAGTAAAGTACTACTACATATCTCGTGTGATGGAAACGGCAGAGTCGAGGTAACCGCAGTATGTTGCATAACTACCACTTCCTGGTGTTTTTAACCGACTTCGAAAAAGGAGGAGGTTACTCAAGTCGATCAGTATATTTTTTTTTTTTCTATGTGTGCCCGCCGATTACGCCTAGCTGAATGGACCAATCGGAACGAAACCGTTTGCATCTGGTAGGTTCTGACTCCCCATTGGTACCATTATCAAAAAATATTTCATTTTTTAATTGCAAAGTATTGTTATTGCAAAAAAACCGGCAACTTTTGAAATCAACTTTTCTCGATTTTAGTGCGCTTTTAATATCTTATCACGGACATGATTCTGAACAATTTTGTTCATATATACAATTCTCCCCATTCCACTAAAAAGCGTGAAATAAAATAATTTTAAGAAAAAAAAGTATAAAATAATTTCTATTTCATTCAATCATACCATTACGTCACAGATATGAATGAAACCTATTTACTCGTTAGGTAGTATATTAAATACATTTCAACCTTTTCGGAGGCGGCGCAAAATTAAAAATACCTCAGTAAACGTTGCTGCCAATAACCAGTTGATTGTGGTATGGCGTATTGGAAATTAATAAATCCTGAGAAAGAATACGAACCATTATAGATATATCTGGTAATATACGTAAATGTAACGACTGCATCCTCATTTCGCAACGTTTCTGATATCAATGAAATTGAA